CTAAGTCATCAGTAGGACATTCCCTGAGGGCTCCTGGACTGTGAGAGGGGGCAGGCCAGACTGAGGGGCACCCCCATCCCCCAGTGCATGAATTTTCGTGCACCAGACCTCTAGTGTAGCTATGAAAAAGAAGAATCTCTTAGCCTTTGAGACAGCATGAAGGGACCTGGAGATGATTATACTAAGCAAAATAAGCCAGTCAGAGAAAGACAAGTATCAGATAATCTCACTTATATGTGGAATCTAATAAACCAAATAAACTGACAAATAAGTCCAGAGACATAGAAGCATAGAACAGACTGAGGAATCACAGAGGGAAGGAGGAGAGAGGGGGGTGTAAGTATTATATAGTATTTTATAATGTATACTAGAGGCCCGGTGCACAAAAATTTGTGCACTTGGGGGGGTAGAGGGGGTCCCTCAGCCTGGCCTGTACTCTCTCACAGTCTGGGACCCCTCGGGAGATAATGACCTGCTGGCTTAGGCCTGCTCCCGGGTGGCAGAGGGCAGGCCCAATCCCTAGGTGCAGCCCCTGGTCGGGCTTAGAGCAGGGCCGATTGGGGAGTTGGGGCACCGCCCCCTGTCACACTCAAGGCAGGGTCGATAGGGAGGTTGCGGCGCCACCCCCTGTCACGCTCAGAGCAGGGCCGATCAGGGGGTTGGGGCGCTGCCCCCTGTCACGCACAGAGCAGGGCCCATCAGGGGGGTTGGGGCTCCGTACCCTGTCATGCACAGAGCAGGGCCGATCAGGGGGTTGAGGCGCTGCCCCTGTCATCACAGAGCAGGGCCCATCAGGGGGTTGGGGAGCTCCTCCCGTCACACACAGAGCAGGGCCCATCAGGGGGTTGAGGAGCTCCCCCGTCACTCACAGAGTAGGGCCAATAGGGAGAGTTGGGGCACCGCTCCCCTGTCACACACAGAGCAGGGTGGATCAGGGGGTTTGGGGCGCCACCCTCTATCACCCACAGAGCAGGGCAGATCAGGGGGTTGGGGCGCCGCACCCTGTCACACTCAGGGCAGGGCCGATGGGGAGGTTATGGCTCTACCCCGTCACACACAGAGCAGGGCCCGTGGCGGGGGTTGGGGTGCCGCACTTCGTCACACACAGAGCCGCAGGGCCGATCAGGGGGTTGGGGCGCCGCACCTTGTCACACACAGAGCCGCAGGGCGATCAGGGGTTTGGGGAGCTCCCCCCTATCAGGCACAGAGCAGGGCTGATCAGGGGGTTGGGGTGCCTTCCCCTGTCACTAACAGAGCAGGGTGGATAGGGAGGTTGTGGACCCGCCCCCTGTCACACACAGAGCCGCAGGGCGATCAGGGGTTTTGGTCACTGCCCCCTGTCACGCTGATCCCAGTGCCGGGAGGCCTCGCGGCTCCACTGATCCCGGTGCTGGGAGGCATATTACCCTTTTACTATATAGGATAGAGGCCTGGTGCACGGGTGGGGGCCTCCTGGTTTGCCCTGAAGGGTGTCCTGGATCAGGGTGGGGGTCCCCACTGGGGTGCCTGGCCAGCCTGGGTGAGGGGCTGAGGGCTGTTTTCAGGCTGGTGGGTGACTGAAGCTCCCAACCGCTCCTTTTTTTCTTTTTTTTTTAAATTCTGGGCCAGCTTTAGCTCTGAGGCTCGGCTCCAGCTATGAGGCCTCTGCTGCTGAAAGCAGGTTTCTGGCCTTTGTTTACCTTCTGTATTTGAAACAATGTTGCGATCCTCCTGGCTGAAGCTCGGCTGACTAAAGCAGGTTTCTGGGGTTTTGTTTAGCTTCTATATTTGTTACAATGTTTCTTAGAGAGCAGCTCAGAGGCCGGCAGCAGCAGGCGGGGAACCTGGCTTCCTCCGTCACTGGAGCAAGCAAGCCTCCCTGTTCGCGTCAGCTGCCTGGCTGCCGGTCGCCATCTTGGCTGGCAGTTAATTTGCATAAGGATATGCTGATTAGCCAATGGGAAGGGTAGCGGAGGTACGGCTAATTACCATGTTTCTCTTTAATTATATAGGATATGCATAACCCATGGGCACATACAATAGTGTCGTGAAGGCTTGAGGGGTGGGAGGGAGGCGGGTGAAGAGGGTCATTGGGAGAAAAACAGGGGACATCTGTAATATTTTCAATAATAAACATAAATATAAAAATAAAAAAGAAGAGTTATCTTTATCTTAGTGTTGGGGAAAAGTACAGAATAAAAAAGACATGATTAATACAGCATTCCTATACTCTAGTGTTGTTTAGACTTCACGTGAGATCACACAGCATTTATGTATCTGACTTATTTTACTCACCATAAGCTCTCAAGATGCAACCATGTTGTTGCAAATGGCAGGCTTTTCTTCTTTTACATGGTGAATAATGTTATATTGCATACGTACCGTGTCATCTATACCCATTCATCTATTAACAGACATTGAGGTTGTTTCCATAGCTTGGCTAATGTGATTTCTTCTATATTTTGATGCTTTGATTGTGTGTGTGTATAATTTTTGTAAGTCTGAATTACTTTGTAATTAAAATTTTTGAAATAAAAAATGTAATTTAGAAATAAAATAATTTCATCCTGTCGTTCCAGCTGTACTGGTTTTTCCCTTTCATCTCCCAGATGTCTGCAAGGCCACAGACTATGCTGCTCAAAGTTGAGTCCATCAACCAGCAGCACCTCAGAGCTTGTGAGAAATGCAGATTCTCAGGGCTCTCCCTTCCCCGCACCTGCTAGATCAGAATTTCTCGGTGGGAACAGATCTATTTGTTTTAATAAGCTTTCCTGGAGATTCTCAAACACGTTTAAGCCTGAGGACCCGCTGGCCTGAGCGAACTGCCTCACAACCTCAGTCTCACTGTCCATTCTTTCTGATGATCAGGAGAAATTAAAAAGGTAAGAATTCTGAAGACTCAGATCAGTGTCCCCACTTGCTGCACATTAAGATCTCCTGCGAGTTTTTAAAAATCACCAATGTTTGGTCTCCATCTGCAGAGATGCGGATTTAATTGGTCTGGGGTACAGCCAGGACATGGAAATTTTTAAAAATTCCTCTGGTAATTCTAATTTGCAACCATAGTTGATAACTGAGCAAGAGAACAAAGATTTGCTAAAAGAAAGTAAAAGAAATTGGTGGTCTTGATCACCCCCTGCTGGCAGGAGGCTAAACAACTCATCTCCCAGTGACTTCAGAGAAGTAAAGGGAGGTGCTGCTGGCTTCCCATGACTTCATGGCACACATCTGAAGTCTAGTTGCTGTCAGCACAAGAAATGCCCTTCCAAGCAAAATGCCTAAGTCCCTAATTCTGTTTCAAAGACCACACTATCTGTAGTGTATGTAACAGACCCTCAAAGACCACTTACTCTGTGCCCTCCACTGACCTAAACACTTCACAAGCAACCTGTCCCCCCTCATAGCTGCCCTTTGAAGTCTGCACTATTATTACTTCCATTTTGCTAATGGAAAAACTGAAGCACAGAGAGGCTAGTAATTTGCATCAGCTATTAAGTGGAGGAGCTGGGGTTTAAACCGCAGCAGCTGCCTCCAGATCTCCGATTTTAAACACATCGTTGTCTTGCTGCCTCCAAGTGTGATCTCTCTGCTGTGTTATCTGCAGTATCCCAGGATCTAGAACCTATTATGTGCCAGACACAATATCCTCGTTTTACCCAAGAGAAAATGAGGCTCAGGAAGTCCCGTCTACTGTTTTGGATGGATTGTAGACCTCACAATTTCGCAGACCCACACTCAGTCACTATAATATTTCCGAGATCTACATTCATATCCAGCTCTTGCCTCCATTCCCACTGTGACTTTGGACAAGTTACTTCACCTCTCTAAGCCTCTATTTTCCCATCAGAATACCCATTTCTAACTCATAAAGTTGCAGTGAGACTTCCACATTCCAAGCTGTTATCTAACATCCTCAGATTTGCCATGATGATTATTTCAAGGGAAAATGTTTATTATTGTCTGTAACCAAATTCTCCAAAATACTTTTTCATGGGGTCAAAGGTTCATCCTGCATATGTGTTGAATAAGGTGGAGTGCTGGGGGGCACCCCTTCTGCACACAGCTGGATCACATCGGTACCAAAGGCTGGATCACATCAGTACCAAAGGCTGGGCCATGAGAATGGTCTATTCAATTTCATCTGAACTAGATGTGGCTGTCTAATATGCTGATGCTTAAAACTCCATTACAACCGCCTAATCATTAGGATGGCTATAGTTAAAAAAATACATAAAATAACAAGTGTTGATGAGAATGCGGAGAAAGTGGAAGCCTCTACATTGCTAGTGGGACTGTAAAATGGTAAAATGGTATTGCTATTGTGGAAAATAGTGTGATGGCCCCTCAAAAAATTAAAAATAGAATTACTGTATAATCCAGCAATCTCACTTCTGGGTATATACCTAAGAGAATTAAAAGCAGGGCCCTAAAGAGATATTTGTATACCCATGTTCACAGCAGCATTGTTCACAATAGCCACTAAGTGGAAGTAACCCAATATCCATCAACAGATAAATGGATTAACACAACGTGGTCCATCCATACATTGGAATATTAATCAGTCTTTAAAAGGAAGGATCTTCTAACACCTGATTCAATATGGATGAACCTTGAGAATGGACCTTGAGGACATTATGCAAAGTGAAATAAGTCATGCAAAGACAAATACTGTATTATCTCACTTATATATGAAATCTAAAAAAGCTTAAATAATAGAAACAGAGTAGAGTGGTGGTTATTGGGGCCTGGGGTGGAGGAAGTAGGTAGATGTTTGTCAAAGGGTACAAACTTCCAGGTAGTTATTAGATGAATAACTTCTGAGAATCTAATGTGCAGCACAGTGATTATAATTAACTAGAGGTACGGTGCATGGATTCGTGCACTGGTGGGGTCCCTCGGCCTGGCCTGCGCCCTCTCACAATCTGGAACCCCTCAGAGGATGTCAGACTGCTGATTCGTCCTGGTCCCTGCAGGCCAGGCCGAGGGACCCCACCAGTGCTTCAATCTAAATTTAAGGTGAGGTGCTCGCTTCAGCATCACATATACTAAAATTGGAACGATACAGAGACGATTACCATGACCCCTGGTGGAGGATCAAACGCGCGATCATGAAGCGTGCCGAATTTATTAACATGAAATAAAAAAAAAAATTAAAATAATTTAGTGGGGTAGAAAGTAAATTTAAGGAGATTATTATCTTGGATGAGGAGGTGGGGCAAATCAACAACAAATGTATGTGTATAATCATGGTCAAGAAATCCTGGTGGAAATGTCATCGGACCATTGTGGTCCGTGAACTAACAACCTTTA